GTTATTCCCTTTTGAGATTTCCATTCAAAGCAATTTAAAGTAAATTTAAATTGATTGGAGGTACAAAGAAATAATCATGCAAATTTATAGTAACTTCTCTTTCAACACTGAGAAAGAGTTTTGCTTGGTATTACTTGAAACATAAACAACTGAAGATTCAAGAAGCCTTCTTTGTGCTCCATTGACCATAAACAGGATCCTGATACAAACTTTCAGTGAACATTCTTCAAACTGGCTAGGGGAAGAAGCCTAAGAAATGCAGTATTGGAACAGGTAAAGGAGACAACTTATATCACCTCCTATGTCAGGCAACTTAGTATACCCAAAATTTATTTTTATTCTTGACTTAAAACTTGACTCATTGGAATCAATGAGGTTTGTTTATAATTAATTTAAGGCATATAGATCTGGAGTGCTAAAACTGTAATTCATTTTATTGTACACAGCTATACAATTCCCAACTACTGATGGAAGATAGGAATGGGGACTCTTCATTTATATCCTCAGCTATTGAGCTCTGCATAGATAAACCAACTCTTGAGCCTATATAGTATTGCATTATAAGAAGCTCTGATTTTCTGATTATCATATTTTGAGTAGCCAGAAGGTGACCTGGGTGTACAGTTTGTACCCAGGTGATCAATGGAGATTAGAAAAAAATATTTTGAGTATTTCAATAGGAAAATAAGATTATAAGTATTATCAAACTACTGTTCAAAATATATTCATAGTTATTACATAAGTATATCCTGCTTTGAAGATGGCAAGAACAAAGCATGCTATTTGCTAAATTAAAAAATGATTTCGGCCTGGTGCAGTGGCTCATGCCTGTAATCCCAACACTTTGGAAGGCTGAGGCAGGTGGACCACAAGGTCAGGAGTTCAAGACCAGCCTGGCCAAAATGATGAAACCTTGTCTTTACTAAAAATTCAAAAATTAACTGGGCATGGTGGCAGGTGCCTGTAATCCCAGCTACTCAGGAGACTGAAGCAGAGAATTGCTTGAATCCAGGAGGCAGAGGTTGCAGTGAGCTACGATGGTGCCACTGCACTCCAGCCTGGGTGACAGAGTGAAACTCCATCTCTAAATCAATAAATAACGATTTCAACCTGATGGGTTTAAAGGCTAAGGAATTTGAGTTATAATGGAATTTATCATTTGCATGTATCTAACCCTTACACACTATGAGCTCCTCAGTAACTTATTCAGGCTCATTCTGCTAGGTACCTCCGATGCCTGGTAGGTTATTCAGCACATAACAAAACAAATGTGCAATCTCACCCTTGTGAGAGTACTTTGCTAGCTAACACCTGAAATAAATAAATAAATAAATAAATAAAAACCTCTGTAGGCCTGTGGACATATTAAAGCCTGAGACAGCCATCCAAATATGTTGTGAGACTTCAGAAAGCTAGATTTATTGCTGTTCTGGGTCAGCTACATAGTTAGTTCTATCACTGCATTAAAAAGTTGGTGATGTTTTTAGTTTATAAAACTCAGCCTTCCATATTCAGGCCCTTCTAGATCTGACCTTCAACTTACCCCCTCCTTTACACCTCAGTCCTTTACCCTAATAATGCTCAAACCTGCTCAACACCCTTCTTTCTCCCCAAAATTAGTACTTCTCAAACTTTTGGTTAAATAAGAATAACCCAGATAAATTGATAAAAAATTATATTCCTGAGCCTTAAACCCAGAGAATAATTGCAATTTTATGAGTAGAGCCTAGAAATCAGCATTTTAAAGAGACACACCAGGTGATTCCAATACAAGTTTTCCATACTCTTAGGAAAAATTCAATAAACCTAAATTCACCGTTGACTAACAAGGTGTAAAATCCATTCAAACTTCAAGATTCCTGGAGTACATCTGCAGATAGGAAAGAGAAACAAAGCAGGCAATAGTGTTGCCAATAAAATGGAAAGGATTTGGCCAAGGAAGGTATGAAAAGACTGCAAAATGAGAGGTAACAAGGTTAGGCAGAATAACATACACATTAGCAAACAACAGTCAGCCAAGGAGAAATTTATGAAAGCAAATGGTCCAGGTGGATGAAGGGCTTGAGGAAGGGTCTCATAAGCACAAGTGTATGTATGCCCTGGCAGGAAAGTTCCATCTTACAAAAGGGAGACAGGATGATTTTGATGATTCCATCAAATTTAGGATAATGAGCAAAATGTAGTAATGCCATAGGGAATATTTGCTGGGGACCGATAAAATAGGTATGCACTTATGTGTGCTTCGAGATCTATAACCAGTTAGTGGTTAGAAATAAAGTGTATGATTAATACTTCATCTTTGTTGCCAAGTAAAATGCCTCAATTTGAATGTGATATAAACGCAGCACATCCTGAAATAGAACTTGAAGAACAAGAAGAAACAAGTTTCAACATCTTATTCAAGGGGGTGCGGTGTGCCCATCTTCTGGGAATGGGGAGTGGTAATTGAGACTATAACCTCTACTGTCCATTGCTCTGGAGGAGGAGCTAAAAGACTTTTGGATAAGACCCAATCTAACACATATCCTGGGGGATGTTTTCATTTTATCAGGATCAAATCTTTAAATTATAACAATTTATTTCTTTATGTAGAATTCCTATCATTAGTTGACAGATGCAGTAAGAGGACAAGTGGAAATTGATATCAAATCAAATTTATAATTATAAATTCTCTCTCATATAAGATATTGTGGTTTAGCAGTTAAAAATTCAGGCTCTGCATCTCCTCTGATCTTTGCCCAAAAATGTTCCTAAAATACTCCATATTATAATATATTCCTTTATAATATATCCATGTTCTAAATGTATAAATTTACTAATTTTCCTTAGGAAAAAAAGATGGCTTAAATAATCATTAGCTTAGTTTTAACACCCAAAATAATTGTTGCTACGTAAATTCTAAGTTTTTTTCATAATACAACTGAGAAGTTTAGAGGAAGCCAAAAATAATTTAAATGAATCCAAGTTTAATTTAAAAGTTACATCTAAAAGAAGAGATGAACAAAGCAGCGGTTGTAGACTCATTAATTAAAAGAAAACGCTGGCAATTATAAAATTCATGCAATTACATTGATATGCTAATCTAAATTTTGAAAATAACACTGCACGCATGTGGTAACAATATTTAACTAAAGGTATTTTTAAGTTGCAAAGACATACTATTAATTTATAAGGAAGGTAGTTTTTCTATTCGACTACTAAAGTCCCAATTCCAATAAAGCACATCAAAATTAACAAATAATTATGATTCATTTAATGTTTCATCTTTAGATTCTTCATAATCTTCTTTGGGAAACATCCAAGGATAGGTTAATCCTAAATTTAAAAATGACAAAATTGAATTCTTTTTAACACAAAATATCATCATCAGTAGTCACTGAAAATTTTTAGCATTTCTAAGGCTATAAAGCAAGAGCTAGACATTCCCTGTAGTTACTGTTTTAATGATTTTTACTTTCTCTTGTTGAACATAAAAAGTTTCCAACAGAAAAAAAAAAATTGAGGCTCTGAATTCAGACTGCTATAATTTTAATCACAAACTTTAATACTCATTAATGTGGGTCCTTAATCCCGCTAACCCTAAACCTTGTCTGTAGGATGGAGATAATTATTATTATTATCTCCATCCTACAGACAAGGTTTAGGGTTAACCTTGTATAGTTGCTGAGAGATTTAACAGTGAAATGAATACAAAGTCTCAGGTATATAGCAACTACTCAGTAAGTTCTAGCTGCTATCATTATGAGCGTCATTATATTATGGCATTTTAAATCTATATCCTTTTCTTCCTTTGGTAGATTCAAATTTCATGGTCATCTTTGCTAGTGCCATGGTCACACACCAGAGTCAGATAAGCTTAGATGTGTATCTTAGCTTTATGTTTGAGGGTGTTTTTTGTTTGTTTCTTTGTTTTACCCATACTGTTCTAGTTTGCTCAATTGTAAAGTGCACCATAATAATAGTTATCTAATTGTGTAAATTAAATCATTATGTCAATCGAAAAATGTGTGTGTGTGTGTTCCTCAAAGTTCTGATTCCCTTCACTGATTCTCATCTTGTTAATCAGTATTTTTGGTGCAAAATACATAGGAACAAAAAAAATTTCAAACGATAATACAAACAATTTTTAGCTGTTTGACTTTAGGCAAATGATTTAAGGCAGTAAGATTATTTTGAGGTTGAAAATGACAACATTTTAAACATGTATATACAAGGATGACATAGTTATGGTCTGGCATTATAAGAGACAGCCAGCCAACTGACGAGGCTCTCTGGAACTGATAAGGAGTTATTCAGGTTGACAAAGGGAAGCTGGAGAACAGACTTCAGTGAATGTATTTTATAACAGTAGTCAGAAACTGATCTCATGTGTTTCACAGGCTTTATAAGTTACTTTTGATATTTACCTGGTGCTTTGGAAATAGCCACAATAGCACATTTCATTATATGAAAAGATTATGTTATCCTGACATAGTGCTCTGGCCTCCTTTGCTGGGTTTTATTCAGGTTATTTCTTTGATTTTGGAGATGCAAGCCCTAGACTAGCAGAATGAAGCATTATTATTACTTAGCTACTTAAATCTCAGACTTATTCTTTCCAGAATTGATATAAACAGAACATGTCTCTCTTCTTCATCCTTCAAATCTGGATTGCTTGCCTCCGTTCAATATTGCCTGTTAAAGTAGCTTCAGACAGAATTGAGAAAATATCTGTGCTCCCCATCTTTGACACTGTTTGTCTGAAGTAATAGATAATCCTCAATTAAACTTTGTCTAAACTCTTAACACTTTACTCCTTGTCAATTAAACAAAGTAACTTAATGCTCATTTTCATTCTTCTTGTCTTAGAATATTTCCCATTTTCTCTAATTAAGCAAGATCTATGTGATTCTGAGTGTTTGGTGCTAGATGTTAAAAACAACAACAACAACAAAAAAAGAACCGAAGATGTCTAATTGTCTAAAGAAACCCAGTCCTTCAAAACATATAGATACATTTTACAGGATGCCAAACCTATCTCCAAATTAAGGCAAAAGTTGAGAAGGCAAGTTGATACATACCATCTCCTTTGAGACCATTTCCCCTGATTCCCCATCTTATACTATTAGAATGTTGAGTGAACTGAAGCTGAGATAAACTAGTAAGCATTGCACTAGGAAGAGGGATTTCTAGCATTCTACAGGAGTCTAGGTCAGGGTCGGGGGCAGAAAAATAATACGTTATGACAGCATTGGGGTTTTGCCAGTCTGGTCTTATTTGGCTTCCTGGCTGACTATCGCAAATTAAATCTCTAAGGATACCGAAAGCCCAGATTTTTTAATTCTGTTATTTTATGTCAAGACAGGACACAGAAGGACCATAAACACTAAAACAAGAGTTCTTAATACCAGTAAAATTTGTTCATGGTGCATTTTTTACGTAAAGTCTTCTCTGACCCTTCTACTCCTCTGGATTCCTCTAAGGCCACAATACTCGCATGGTTCTCTGTCTGAGCACAACAGTGTCAGCAGCATGTGTTGGAGTCACAGAAGCTCGGTATGAAATCCTGCCTCTACCACCTGTTTCATACCTGATAATAGAATAGTCACTTAAACTCCCTTTGTCATCCTTTTCTTATCTCTGAAAACAGTAAAACCTAGTTTTAAGAGTTTTAATGTTTTACTGGGAGAAGAGATACTGTGCACAGTGTAAATTTTCAGATACAGAATTGGATGTTCAATGTTGCCATGCTGCTTACTATTGTAATTTGTTTCTCTCTTTGTAAGTCACTTGCAGACCAAAATATAGATCAACATATTCTCAGAATGTAAGGAAGTGATGGGTATTCAATATTATTTTACCACTTGGTTAAATGACGATTGGTAGCTATAGATGAGTTACAGAGTTCTGTTTCATTTCTCCTGCAGGTGACTGAAGATGAGCCCTGAAAACTGGACTCAGGTAACAAGCTTTGTCCTACTGGGTTTCCCCAGTAACCATCTCCTACAGTTCCTGGTGTTCCTGGGGTTAATGGCGACGTATATTGTAACAGCCACAGGCAACCTGTTAATTACTGTGCTCAGCTGGACCAACCGACGCCTGCACACACAGATGTACTTCTTTCTGTGGAATTTATCCTTCCTGGAGCTGTTGCTGGTAACTGTTGTAGTTCCCAAGATGCTTGTCGTCATCCTGACGGGGAATCACACCATCTCATTTGTCAGCTGCATCATCCAGTCCTACCTCTACTTCCTTCTAGGCACCACCGACTTCTTCCTCTTGGCCGTCATGTCTCTGGATCGTTACCTGGCAATCTGCCGACCACTCCACTATGAGACCCTGATGAGTGGCCATGTCTGTTTCCAGCTAGTGCTGGCCTCCTGGCTAGCTGGATTCCTCTGGGTCCTTTGCCCCACTGTCCTCATGGCCAGCCTGCCTTTCTGTGGCCCCAATGGTATTGACCACTTCTTCTGTGACAGCTGGCCCTTGCTCAGGCTCTCTTGTGGGGACACCCATCTGCTGGAACAGGTGGCTTTCGTGCTTTCTACGTCAGTGTTACTGGGCTCGCTGGCTCTGACCTCAGTTTCCTATGCCTGCATTCTTGTCACTGTCCTTGGGGCCCCCACAGCTGCTGGGCGAAGGAAAGCATTCTCCACTTGCGCCTCGCATCTTACAGTGGTGATCATCGTCTATGGCAGTTCCATGTTTCTCTACATTCGTATGTCAGAGGCTCAGTCCAAACTGCTCAACAAAGGTGTTGCCGTCCTAAGCTGCATCATCACACCCCTCCTCAACCCATTCATCTTCACTCTCCGCAATGACAAGGTGCAGCAAGCACTGAGAGACACCCTGGGGTGGCTCAGGCTCACTGCTGTGAGGAAACTGAGGGTCACGAGTCAAAGGAAATGATAAATGGGAGATTAAATGCTTATTGAAAATGTTTTAAATGTGCAAGAAGTTTAAAGAACATAAGCAACAGTGTGCACTTTTCTCAGCTAATGAACAGTCTTTGTAAATATACAATATGAAATATGGTGGTTAACCTTCATTTTCCCTCCCTACAGCCTTTCTTCCTTGTGCCTCCTCCTCCCCACATAGACGGCTGATCCAATTGGTCAAATTGCTTTCAAGATAGAATCCCTGGATTGGAGAACATGTGTGAGCACGTGACGTCCATACAGGGAGGCTCCTTCTCTTTCTCCTCATATGTACGCTTAAACACTTTTCTTTCTGCATCAGTCTCCTGTGTCATGTAGTCAATCAGAAGATGCTGAAATATGGAGATTCAGATTTGGAGCTCAGTGAGGAGTAAGAGGCCCTCTGAGGGCTTCCAACTAGATTGGGTATTGCAAATAAAATTAAGCAGAACCTCTGTATTATTAGAAAATCCAATTCTGGCTGCAGTAATAAATGATTCTCTGATTTGCATTTGTTATTGCACCTTATATGACTAGCGGCTCCTATAGGAATCTCATAAAGGAAGAATGTTAAGACCAGTTAAATATTTGGATAGCCCTCATTCCCAAGTCAAACTCTACTAACAGACTTCAAATATGGCAACACTCATTTAATCATTCCTTTAAGAAATATTATTAGACATCGAGTATGTTTCAGGCACTGTCCCAGGCAATGCTCCAACTAGGTTGAGCCAAGGGAGATGTCTACAGAACAAATTTTAAAGAGACATGCACTTTGAGGGGAGTGTAAGTGCAGGGTATGCTGTGTACAAACCCAATAGTAAATGCCTGCTCAGTGTTGACATGAGGCCCCTCTGTTGCTGCACGCTCATCTAGGCTGTGGTGCTAGGCTTGGAGAATATAGTATTAAGTAAGCTAAACATGGCTCTTTCTTTTAAAGAGTTTGTAGGATAGTGGGCAATGGCTGACACAAAAATAATAAATAGATAAATCAGTATGTAATTGAAATCTGTGATAAATACTTTTGAGTTTTGTTAGAGGAACTACTAAGGACAAGTTAATTTGGATTAAAGATCAGGGAACACAGCTTTGAGGAAGCAATCTTTAGACCAAGGATTGAGATTGAGCAAGAGTTAGCCAGGCAAAAACTAAACGAAGAGCATCCCAGAGACTGACAGAAGTAAATGCAAATAGAGGGTTAGAAGAGTGGAGTTAGAGAAGTGAGATTGGAGAGATGGGTGGAGGCCAAGTCAGACAACATCTTATCTATAATATTCACGGTTGTTTTTTTTTTAAAGGCAATGGAAAGCCTCTGAAGGGTTGTAAGGGAGCAAATGATCAAGATATATTTCAAAAGTTTGATCAAATGCCAAGTCTATGATGTCAGTATAACTCATGATGATATAAACTCTATCCATGATAGCATAAACCCACAGATCCTTAGAACCTGTAAGAAGTTTTAGATACCATTGAGGACTTGGGCACTGGCATTGTATAGACTTGGGTTGGATTCTAGAAAACAAGCTCTGCAGCCTTAAGTAAGTTATGTAATGTCTCTAACTTGCAGTTGACTCATGTTTAAAGTAAATATGAAAACCTACCTCATAAGAATTTTAAATTTGAGAAAATTAAAATAAATTATAAAAGGAAATCACTGGGTACAGTGGAACATAGTAACTAACTAAAAGTAACTAAATGTTATTTACGTGATGAAGATAATGACAATGAGGACACTGATGGCAACAACGGTGGCCCTAGGAAACCATGAGGAAGAAAGTGATGTGCTCAAGGTAATTTCCTTTTTCCTCACTGACAAACATTCAACTATCAATCAGTCTCCATTGGGACTCAGGGTCCAATATTTCAAGAGAACGCTTGTCTTAAAGAAATTTTAAAATATTTTAAGCTCTTCTAATGTATTTTGTGTCCAAAAAGTGATATCAGGCAAGAGACACCAGATTTACTAGTTGAAACTTTCTCAGCAAGGCCAACACCATTCTTACCTGGGAAAGTGGTCTCTGAGCCAAACAGTACTTCTGCATAGAACTTGATACCTTTTATCTGGGAGGCACTTAGCAGTGGTTCTAAGACACTCATCCCATCTTCTATTTTGGCTAATTGTTCAGGTCACCAGAACCTGACTGAGGTTAAGAACAATGGAGAAGCAGTGGGCAGAGATTTCTATCTACCTTTAGGGTCCTATCAAGCAAGCTAATACCCTGACGTGTCTTTCAGATTCTCAGGTCACTGCCTCTGCTAATCTAAGGGTCTGCACAGGGAACCAGTAAGATCCTTTTGCCTCCTCCGCAGCTTCTTCACAGCCATGATCACTTCCTTGTTTCTCAGGGTATAGATGGCAGGATTCAGCATGGGGGTGAGTACTGTGTATAGCACAGAGACTGCCTTGTCCATGGGGAATGTCTGAAAAGGCCTTGCATAGATGTAAATGCAAGGTACGAAGATTAAGGTCACCACAGAAATGTGAGAGGCACAGGTGGACAGGGCCTTGCTGCGGCCCTCCCGTGAGTGGCTTTGGAGCATGACTAGCAGTGCTGTGTAGGATCCCAGAAGCACCAGAAAACACATCAGGGTCACCAGGCCACTGTTAGACACCATTAGAAGCTCTAAGACAAAGGTGTCTGTGCAGGCCAATTTGATTAGCTGAGGCACATCACAGTAAAAGTTGTCCAGCTTGTCAGGCCCACAGAATGGCAGCTGGATGGTCAATGCAACCTGTACTATGGAGTGGATGAAGCCCCCCACCCAGGAGGCTGCCATGAGGAGTGCACAGACAGTCTGATTCATAATGAGTGTGTAGCGCAGGGGCTGGGAAATGGCAATGTACCGGTCATATGCCATGACAGTCAGCAGAAATATCTTGATGCCTCCAATGAAGTGGAAAAAGAAGAGTTGAGTTAGGCAGTCACCAAAGGAAATGGTAGGGTTGCCTGAGAGCAAGTCAACCAGCATCCTAGGTGCCGTGATGGAAGAGTAGCAAAAGTCCAGGAAAGAAAGGTTGCCCAAGAGAAAATACATGGTTGTGTGCAGATGTGGGTCAGAGGTCACTATGACCACAATAAGAAGGTTTCCTGTTACAGTCATAAAATATACAGCAGAGAAAACAGTGAAGAAAAAAACCCGAAGCTCCCAAACCTGAGAGAGCCCCAGTAGAACAAATCCTGCCACCTGGGAATGATTTGCTGGATTCATCTGGTTGGTATGACCTGGTCAATGAACCTGCTGAGAAAAAAGGACATATTCTTCAGGGGATCTGCAAATTTCTCTAAAATAATTTTCCCTGTCTCCTCTGGGAAATTCTCCACTCTTTCATTTCCAATAAAGAGAATGTTATAAGTGGTTCTGCAGGACACCAAGCATTTAAACAGCATGTACCAGTGATATCAAACTCCAAGGGCATAAAACTCAGGATAGCACTCATACTATTTTTGGTTTTTGAGGGCTATAAACCAAAATGAGGGCTATTATCCAAAATAATAAGCCCTCAAAATTGAAAAATGGGATGTAGAGAAGAGAGTGTTTAACTGAAAATGAATTTCAGTTCTGCCAGTAACTAGTTGTGCAAACAGAAAAAAAAATCTCTGCAATTCTTTAAGTCTTGTTTCCCTCATCTATAACATAAAATTAACCGAAATGTCCTCAACGTCTCCATTACTTTAATATTTGATACTACATGTGGTCTTAATTTAGAAAACCTGATGCATCCCTGCATGCCAGACCTTTAGACAAAGCTTCCACGGGGTGACATATCTCTAATATTTATCCCAAAACAACAGAAAGTGCAAATATTCCATTATAGCTTTGAATAAATATTTAATTGCCTTCTGATATAGCTCTACCTTGGATGTACATTTTCAGACCTAGCAAGATACTAAAGCTATGAGTAAGGAAGCAGAATAGAAATCACTGGGGCCAAGCGTGCTGGCTCATGCCTGTAATTCCAGCACTTTGCAAGGCCAAGACAGGTGGATCACCTGAGGTCAGGAGTTTGAGACCAGCCTGGCCAACATGGAGAAATCTGTCTTTACTAAAGCTGCAAAAATTAGCTGGGCATAATGGTGGGTACCTGTAATCCCAGCAACTCAGGAGGCTGAGGCAGGAGAATCACGTGAACCCAGGAGGCAGAGGCTGCAGTGAGTTGAGATTGTGCCACTGCACTCTAGCCTCGGTGACAGAGCAAGACTCTATCTCAAAAAAAAAGAAAGAAAGAAAACAGAAATCACTGTCCCCTGTATTATAGAAGGGTAGTAAAGAACTACTACTCTCTCTAAAATTAGATAAGAAAACATGTGATAGAAAAAGCTTCCTGTATTGTGGCTCTGGGAAACCCAGAGAATCTACAGTCCCTGGGGAAATATGGGGGAAGACAACGAGAATATTAAGCCACCTCTGAATAGTTTGAATGTCAATATCAACTTCAGAGACATTACCCAAAGAATAATTTTTTATTCATAGGGGAAGCAGCAAGAGGAGGCTATAAATACTAATTAAAATTTTTAAACCACCATCTAAACAAGCAGAGCTGCCTAGACATTTGGAAACATTGGAAATAAAAGAGGTGTTTTTATACACTTAAATATTTTAAAACATACTGAGAAAGATGAGTAAACAAACTGTAGAATAAAAGTCTTCATGTTCCTGAATAGAAATGTGAAGTGTCATTTTAATTTAACTTAAGTATAGATTTCAATTATATTTTCTTTCCTTTGTCTAGTCATTCAGTAAGCATTTATTCAGCACCTTCTACTTATTAGGCACTGTGCTAAATACTAAGGAGTTAAAGAGTAAGACACAATGATTTAATGCATCACTAAGTATATAACACTCTGCATAGGAGGGTTCCAGTCCCTGCCTACCTAGTTTCATCAAACCATATTGATATGGTTTGGCTTTGTGTCCCTACCCAAATCTCATCTAGAATTGTAATACCCACATGTCAAGTGAGGGATCTGGTGAAAGGTGATTGGGTCATAGGGGTGGTTTCCCCCATGCTGTTCTCGTGATAGTGAAGGAGTTCCCACAAGATCCAATGCTTTAAAAGTGGCTGTTTCCCTACTCTCTTTCTCTCACCTGCCACCATGTAAGATGTGCCTTGCTTCCCCTTTGTCTTCCACCATGATTGTAAGTTTCCTGAGACCTCCCCAGCCATGTGGAACTGTGAGTCATTTAAACCTCCTTTCTATACAAGTTACTCAGTCTCAGGTACTATCTTTATAGTAGTGTAAGAATGGACTAATACACATATGTAGCCTCTTTCACATGTATACTATGATCTAGAGCACATCAAACTACTTGAAGTTCCCAGAACTTATGCTCAACCCATGCTTCCTTGATTTCCCTCTCTATATATTGATTTTGCTATAGTTCTAATAACATTAAAACTAAATTTGTATATTTTCAATATACAAATAATTGGGAATTTTCAGATTCAGTTCCAACATGTGAAGACTTTGAACGTCAAAACTCCTATCCTTAACACAAGAAAAAGCAGGGTAAACTGAAAGTCAGTGGCTTTTCTTGGACCAAGCAGAGACATGGTCACAGAGCAAACAAACACCTGAAAATCTGAATATAAATCTAACAAAATACATATAAAATCTATATGGGGAAAGCTACAATACTCTGATAAAAGAAATTTAAAAACTAAATAATTGGAGAGATACTTCATATTTATGCATAAGAAGTTTCAATATTAGCAAGATGTTGATTCTTCCAACTTAATCTATAGATTCAATGCAATGTCAATAAAAATCCCAGAATTTTATTTTGTGAGTAGCAACAAACTGATTCTAAAGTTTATATGAAGAGGCAAATCATGCAGAATAGCCAACACAGTACTGAAGGAGAAGAATAAAGTTGGAGGACTAACACAACTAGACTTCAAGACTTATAAAGCTATAATAATCAAGACATTGTTGTATTGATAACAGGCTAGACACATAGCTCAATGAAATAGAATAGAGAGCTCAGAAATAGATCCACAGAAATATAGTCAACTGATCTTTGACAAAGTATCAAAGGCAATACAATGGAGTAAACAAATGATGCTAGAACTGGTCCTTGTCTTAAAAAAAAAAAGAAAAAAAGAAAGAAAGAATCCAGACACAGACCTTACATCCTTTAGAAAAATTACATCAGAATGAGTTAGATAGTTGGAGATTTCAACATTAGTATGTCATTGATTGATAGATCAAGAAAACAGAAAATCATTAGAATATTGTGTACATGTACAGCACAATCAGTCAACCGGTTCTAATTGACATTTATTGAACAACAGCAGAGTACACATTCTTCTCAAGCTCACATGGAATGTTCTCCATAATAGACCACATTATAGACCAGAAAATACACCTTAACAAACTTAAAAGAGTAGAAATCATACAATGTATGTCTTCAGACTACAGTGGAATTCAACTAGTAATCAATAATATAAAGATAGCTGAAGCCAGCTGCAGTGGCTCACACATGTAATCCCAAAACTTTGAGAGGACGAGGTAGGAGAATCGCTTGAGCCCAGGAGCTCTAAATCAGCCTGAGCAACATAGGGAGCCTCCATCTCCACAGAAAATAAAAAATTAGCTAGGCATTGTGGAGCATATCTGTGGTCCCACTTTCTTGAGAGACAGAACTGGGAAGATCACTTGAGTGGGGGAGGTTGAGGCTG